CCTGTGTGGACAAAATTTCTAGACAAGTGCATTTTATCAAATTGTTAAGAAGAAGTTCAAAAATGGATGAAGGAAATGCACTATACTTATGACAGCTATTCAAATTCGATGAACCCACTTTGAGACTAATAATGGTTGGAGACGGTTTGAATGGGTAACGAAGAAAAACTTTAATATAAGTGTAAATTACTTGTACCTGATGATGACAAAACCTTTTTCTTCATTATCCATTCAAGCCGTCTCCAACCATTATTATGACAGCTATGCTAAGAGGTAATATATGGTTCCTACACCTCCAAAATCTGTGGTGTGAATTTTCTTGGTTGGAATTTACAAGTAATTTTTTTATTTTATTTTACAGGAACTAAAATCCCAGTTCATTCTGAACACACTTCACAAATCCAACAATCAGGCCTAATATAAGTGATATTTACATGTTATGAAATGTTCAAACTCCAAGCAGTTAGATATTGCTGTTTCTACAAATTATGTTGTTATATAGAAGATCTACAGAAACCCAGAATACAAATCTTTAACAGCCCATATTTGCACAGAAAAACTTTATTTTTAAAATATACTTGATTATAAAACAATTTATTAAATTTACAGAAATAAACAATATGTTAATTTTTTTTAGACACACCAATATTCAAACAAATATTCAGAAAGACAATTTCGTTAACATACAACTTAACTACTTTTATTTTTTAACTTACAACTTAACTACTTTTATTAACCATGAATGACTCTCAAAATGTTTTTTTTTCCTATTTTATTAAGTATATCAACTTTACAGGCAACTAATAAGTACTGTGTTAAATATTTGGTGCATAATAAGTAAAATTCACCATGTAATATATCATACTCAATATCAATACCAAAAGGTTTGGTAACAATGTCAAAATATTTAATAAATGGAATAAAAACCCCTGTAAAATATAAATATGACTACAGTATCACAACCAATCAATGTAGTATATAATTATAATATAAACAATGGAATATAAAGAAGTGCAGCAAATTATGGCAGAACAACTGATTTTGAGTAATATTAATAAACCCTTTTTTAAATGACAGATAAAGTTAAATTTTTCCTTGATCCGAAACACATTATACGTCAACATTTGAGGTTAACTCTTGATATTCTAATCATAAGAATTACTGATATTGTTGTTTTTAAATAAAACTTAAAGACCTATATCTATTCATAACCACTGTTCATTTGATAATGCTCTGAAGTTATGAGCATGTTCACAAATATAGCTTCAGCAGTTAAAGTATGAACATAAACTGGTAATTATTACAGGTGGATGATTTATTGAGTTGATATAGTGGCAGATATGAGCCATATGGCACCACAGGTGACATTTATCAACTTTATATTTGGTTCAGAAGGAAGACCCAACCATTCCACAATGCAATGCCACCACTGCAGACTTAAAGCTGGAGGAATGTGTCACAGTTTCTTCCCAAAGAAGGATACACATAAAACAAGACTATTATATAAGTTATGGTAAAAGGACACAACATTTCAAAGAAGGATGTTTTCAGTTTTCCCTATGAAAGTTAGAAAACTTGCAGAGCAGTGTGTTTAAGACAACAGCAGGCTCCAAAACCACATCCAAACCAACCCAGAGCAACACCCTCATCCACGAAATGAATGCCATTGTTACCAAACAGGATGATTCAACTCAAAGAGCCATTGCAATGAAGCTGAGTATATCTCCTGGCAATGTTAAACAGATAATAAACATATGTTTGTAGATGAAAAAAGCCCAAGAATCTAAAGTTTACAAGCTTCCAGCCAAACCTTGAAATCAAACAGTTTTTCCATCAGAATGCTGGCCAAAAAACTGCTTTCACAGACATCCCAATTGTCTGTCAAGTCCAGCAATACAGTTCCTATGAACTTTGGTTTGCTTAAACATACTGTTTGAAAAAAACAATGTCCAAGTAAAGTAATGAGGCTGTGGAAAATGTGTATAGTTTAAGACTGACCTCACTGTTCTTCACAAAAGTTTTATAGAAACTGCAGTATTGGGGTACAGCATGGCCATCAGAAGGAGCACAGTAAATAATTGTTACAAAGGTTAAAATAAACCTAAATAGAATTAAGTGTAATTAAATTTGAGTAATAGACTTTTCTCTGTTAGCTTCCACTTGAACTAGATTCAAGTAAATAATTTTTCTGTTAATACTTCAATATTAATTTTACTTTATAGTATTTAGATCCTGGAGTTATTATACTATAAATTACTTAGAACATAAACAGTAAGAAAATAATCACTGAAATTGTCTACACATCCCACAGACCTTATTAAAATACATATCTATGTTAGTGTTGATGCAGTACAAACTTCTATTGATTAATATATAATCTTAAATATTTACCTTTTGTCACACAATTACATTCTTGTACATATGTACAATTTAGAGTAAAAAAAATAACTGTATAAGATGAAAATACCTTAGGATATTTCTGTCAAACCTATTTTATTATTGAACCAGTAGAGAGATAGTGACGTTTACTAGTTTAAATTTTCCAGTTTATGTTCATAACATCCCAAGAGTGGTCCTGTCTACTAAATTCAGTGGTTCTTTTTATTTACACTTATTTTAAACACAACTAAAAATCTAAAATAATTAAAACATCTTTACAAGTCTTCTTGATTTGGTTTTTTGAATTCAAATATTTTAACTTCACCCGGACTTCAAAGGTGAATTTGTGTTATGATAAAATTTCCTTAAATTAGGCCCTGGAAGGTGATATATTAAGTTTGTATTCTGTATGAAACATACTTATTTATAAAATTTTAGAATTCTGAAGAGTAAGTTACAAATATACTACGTAATTATTTCATTTCAGTGCAAACGTATGCAACATTATATAATTATACAGGAATTTCAAGAATATGCAGCATTGATGCTACAAACTTATTCTTGTGAATTATTCACTAATGTTAAGCCTAGTCTTATTCTTTTGATTTGCCTTTGTCTGGGATTCATGATGAGGAGTTGAATTCTCTGAAATTGGTGCAACTCAGTGACAATTGGTAAATCAAATGATAGATTAGGCTTCATATTTAGTTTTTAGTATTCTAAACATCTTGTTTGGCCGAATAATTCACAAAATAAATTAGTAGCATTAATGTAACATATTCTTGAAAATCCTATATAAATATAGGATAACAGGGTGAGTAAAAGGTGTTTCAAAACACCATACATATAATATACGCTCCACCACTATATGAAGTCTAGTTTTATTCTCTCCAGTTGCCCTTGTCCAGAGTTACCGATGAGAGTTGGTGACAAATGATAGATTAGGCTTCACATTTAGTTTTTAGTATATACAACAAACCATACTGTATGCATTATTCTTTGGTAAGCCAATAAAAACTGGTTTGCTAATAAATGTAATTTCTGTAAATAACTTGTTTGTGCTGAATGAATAACATTTTGATTTCCGTATAGTGCTTTTTAGTACTTTCTGAGCTTGAATGAATAGTGTAGAAATACACAGACCACTTTTGTATACACTAACTGTTACCGAAGCCTTTTCTTAATGGATTCTGTAACTACATATTAAAACCTTTAGCCCCTTGAAAATACACAGAATGAACTATTCCACCATTAGCGGTTACAAAAATATGCTGTCCTGGAACAGACTGCTTTCATTATATTGCCAACGTCCACAATGAATGGTTTATACTTCATCTTTATTTCCTTTTTTTTTATATAGTAAAAAGTATCTCGGTTATGTCAAAAAATAAAAACTTACTAAATCTATCACAAGTTATACCAATTCAGATGTTGGCTTATTTCTGTACTAACACCCACTTCTAACATCTATTAGATGTTATATAACATCTAATAACACCCACTTCTAACATCTAATAACACCCACTTCTAACATCTATTTTCAGTCTAAAAAAGAAAAAAGTTGTCTAAATACAGAGTAGTGGTGGTGGGGGAAGGAAGAGGGCTTTTTTCTCCCTAAAACAATGTGAAGCTTTTTTTCTAACACATAAAAATTTAAGTGATATGCACAAGTGTTTCTTAAAAAATCAGAAGATAGTGGACCTTTCTGACATTTCGGAATATTAGAATGGCTATTCAACCCATTGGCTATGACCCTGCATAAAATTATCATCATAAATTCTAGACAAATCATGAAAAAGGTTTTTGAGATAAAAGTACATAATGAGCATTAAGCAACAGCTAATGAATAAACTTGAATGAAAAACTGATCAGTAAGTTAACAGCACCTCAACATTGAAGAAAGTAATCTCACATTTCATGATAATTTGACCTAATCTAGTATGAATTAAAGATTTACTTGCATAAAACCTAACAACTTATCTGTATGGAACATACATACATTTAAAAATATTTTTAAGTACAGAAGTGAATTAGCACACACTTCCAATGTCTACAAAGTTAAAACACATCATCACAACCATATCAACTTACATTACATGATAGACTCACTTAAATACTTTTTTTAACTCCTAGAAGATAATTTAAACATTTACCATCAACTTTATGACTTGATTTTGTACATTCAATGTATTTCAAATAATTTAGTTAAGCTGAATGTAAATGTGTTACTTTTAGGAAGAATTAACAAAATTAATAATAACCTATGTACACAAGTGGGGGTCAAAGTGTGCATGCTATGACCTTTTAGAGCATGGTATGTATTTGACGTCAGAGTTATTAACTATTTAAACTATCCATTTTACCCTACACTGCTGACATAGCAACGGTTTATGGTAGAGGACAGTAAATACAAGATACAATATATAGAGATACTGAAAAAAACTGTTGATATACACTTCAAGAGGTTCTAGAAGTTATACAAACTGTACAATAGACAAAAGTATTTTTATTCTTCGTGAACATAACCTTGCACTCTCACTTGTCAGTCTCAGTCAGACTGACAAATCTTCGTGACATATAGTTTTACTTTTTGTGTACAACATATTTGTACATTTCACTAAAAGCTAGGTACTAGGTACATGTAGTAAATTTGGAATTATAGCCAAAGTTACTTCTCCAATACAAAGTCAGTCCACTGAAGTAACCCTGTGTACATTCCATTAAATAGCTATGCACTGTATATGAAATTTCACAATCAGGGGTTTAAATAATTGGTACGCAGGTACACATGGGTGGCTAAAATAATCAATACATACTTCAAAGTTGCTAAAAAGGCACAAGGATGTACCATCACAACCAATGTTTTTTCTGGTAACAGGGTTTTATTCCCTACTTTGTGTAGGTAACATATACTTTGATTTTGATATCTGAAAATATACAAAAATCAGTTATTAACTTATCGTGCTAGCTAGTTGGGTAAGCTGAATAATAACCTCATAAATAATGGGAAAAACTTTAGATCTACTACTCAACTGTCTTGGTAGTTTAATATGAACCTGTTTTGTTTTGAGTACCAATCGTTTTTGTTGGTACTCATATGAGAACCTGATATGAACCTCTCTTTATAATACAATCGTAAAGTGTGACTAAATATGCATTTATCTAACATATATTTCAAAGATAAATAGGAACTGCTTATGTGTACAGAACATCAGACTGATTATGTTATTGGTATTTATGTGCTTATTAACAAATTTGATAGGGCAATATTACATTTCACAAGAAAGGTAGCTAAAAATACATGTGCAAATGTAAGTTTAAAGTGTATTTAAGCTGTTGTCAAATGTATCAAAATAAAGCAACATATCCACATTTGTACACCATATAATAGAAATAAAGAGCAATAAATAGTTTTTAAGAGTTATTCCCTTAAACATTTGTACACATTTAGAACTAATAATTGTAAAATTATTTGGAAAAGAACCTGAGCCAGCTTTTAAACATCTCTCATTCAGCCTTCTCTAGTAAAATAATAGCAATTAATTTGTATGGTGTGGTGTTTGATAAAAATAATCATATTTTACTTCTATTTTTCTACAGTATGAAAAAACTTTTAAAAATAATAAAACTTAAATTATAAGATTAATCAACAAAATACCATGTGTTCAAAAGGCTTGTGTTACCATATGGTTATTTTGAAAACCATCTTCGTCTTTTTATTTTTTTAATTGTACTGAAAGATTTAATTCTTTCAATTTTGAGATAATCATGTAAAAAAAAAGAAGACCTAAGCTCCTTATTACTCAATTTAAAAATGGCTAATCCTGTTCATTTACTTCAGTATCTAGAGTTTATGTACACACCATGTCTAATATTAACTTTAAATACCAGACACACCATTTCAAATGAAGAATGGAATATTATTATAGGCAAGACCATAACAAAAGTTGCATCTATTCTAACAGACCGTTAATGCTATAAGCACCTTGAACATGTAAACGGTGTTTTATCTTATTTTAGACAGAAAACCCATAATGGCTTGTTTACACTATCTGAGAGCATTTTGGAGAATATAAACATCTCTCACACAGACAAAGTTTAACCACACTTATACCTGATGATTAATACAAAGTAAACCTGTCCATTTTCTTTTAGCTGAGCATAATTTTATCAATTATCAAAGTTATATCTGAATAAAATACTTTTTTTTTCAAATTTTCTTTATAAAGTTCCACACAACAAAGCTAACACAAACCAAATATTAAGTAAGGCACAGATTTAGTGAAGAACCAATATTAAGTTTGCAAAATATTAAGTAAACAAGAGTTTATATCAATTTTGTCAACATAAAATACAGTTTTTAATAAGTAACATGCTAATATATTAATAAAAACCACTGCATTATTGTTATTTGTCCACACACACCCTTTTTTTTTCACCGGAATTTAGACAAAAGAGCATATTTTTTCATACAGGCAAATTTAATTTCTCTGCTGGATTTTATTAAATATAGTAGTTGTTATTTAATTGTGGTAATTAGCACACTATCAATTTATTCCGAACATGTCCATAACAGTCTCTGTATATAAAAGGCATACAAATTATGTCAACAACAACACCACCAGACAGATAGTACACATGCATTAAATATGTTATTAAAAACAATAAAGAAATGGTTTCATCAGGTCATTACCTAAGAAAGAAAATACTTTTAGTTGTTCAAAAAATGGGTTTCAAAGTAGATTATACAACAGCAATTTTTAAGGATGACCTACTTAAATTATTTAATTATAGCAGGACTTTTGAAAGAATGTGTGTTAAAATGTTTGGGATACCTCAACACGTGTACTTGATATATAAATAAATACTATTCACCAACGCATTGCATATGAATATAAGACCTTGAAAATTATTCATGTTTTTGTTGTCGAGGGCTTTTTCCAGAATATCCATATAGAAGAGTGGCGATGATGACGACAAAAGCGCCATAAAGGAAATGGCTAAGAAACAGAGAACGAAAGATATATCAAGAACACAGAAAATTAAAAAAAAATTAAGAAAATTCTTTAAGATCGCATACAACAGTTGAGTAATTCTTCATAAAATTATTCCAATATTTAGTTCAACCTTACTAATTTTAATGAAAATTTATTATTGTTTCTTACTTGGTGAATTCAAACTGTTTTATACATTCTTTTAATGATAAGCAGAGAAAGTTAAGTATAAAAAAATATCTTTTAGTAAATTCTTTAAAAAAGCTAAGCAAAAGTAGAAAGTTTAAAGTTTTCTCTTTCACTAAAGCACAAAATATAAAAACGTATGGTGTAATTAATTACCATAAAAAATCAAAGATAAATTGTAATTAAAGTATTATTATCAAATCATTAATTTTAATGCTTTTATTATGTTGGATTTGATAATACAAAACAGTTTTTCTGTGGAACAGATAAAGTCATTACACTCATTTTTAAGCTATTACTTATTTAAATTCTAAATTATTATGTATGAGCATTTACATTGCTAAGACCCATAACAAAAACAGCTAACTTGTTATTTATCTAATGCAAGAGAATCTACTATTAATTTCTTTTAAGGCACATTGTGTTTATATATTAAGAGTAAAAAATGCAAAATCTGATGTCTCTTGGCACAATGAAAGATACAAACCTTTATTATTGGTTGTATACAATGAAACTGGTCAGCTACAACCAATAATAAAGATCTTATTTTCATTATGCCAAAAACATCAGATTTTGTGTTTTTTACTCATAATAGGATCTACTTTTATTGTAGGATTACTAAATCATGTTAAGCTACATCAGTTCTCTGACTCACAATGTAATTTTGCTTTTGTTTGAGGTTAAGTACAAAGCTACACAATAGGTTATCTGTACTAGCTGTGCCCACCATAGATATAGAAACCAGATTTTTAGTATGATAAGCCATCAAACTTACAGTTGAGCAACTAGGGGCAACAATGTAATAAAATGTAACTGAAGTACAATTCAAATGGTAGTTCAGTTCAGAAAGGAAAAGGTCAAAAGTATTCTAGAGTATTCTCTGTAATAAATATCTTGATTGAATCCCCAGTTATTCTGCAGATATAGCTATCTTGTTGCTCTAAGGATAATCAGTTTCATCTGAGAATACCACAACTGCAGAAATTTAATAACCCAAAATAACTTCATTGAGATAGTTTAGATATTAATACTTACATAAAAATCATTTTACAAGGAAACAAATTCTTACCTTTTTGGGCAGAAATCTCCCAAAATAAAATACGAAAAAACAGTTGACAATACAATTGATAATGATGTTGCAAATCCCTTGAGAACGTTGTCTGCATATTTGATAGCAGTAGATATCACTAAACCACCAAATGCCTGAAAGAAGGAAAATAACACTGTAATCTTTTTTCTAGTTTTCAAGATATAGATATCTTCAACAGGCTTAATTTTTGAACTGATAACACTAATCAGTAGCACCCATCACTAACTCTTGGGCTACTTTCAATGAGTGGGATTAGCCATTATTTTTATTATTATAGTGCACCCAATGCCCTAAAGAGGGAAGCGTGATTTTTGGACCCTCAAATCTACAGTACAGTACTAAGCAATGCTTGGTCAAGAATCTGAAATTCTTTAAAATATTATATTGTAGTACAAAGAGCAACTTTTCCTTTATTAGCCAAATTGCATTTTAAAAAATGTACAATAAATATATTTACTAATAACAGTGGAGAAAGTCAAATATAACTGGATACTAGAACCAATCTTAGATTTGCTGTCATTACTAACTAGAACTAAACATTTGTAATCTTTATTAATTCTTGCTAATATGATACTGTTTTTATTATAGCAACCAAGTATGAAAATATTTGTAATATCAATTTCAATAGTTTATAATAAAATCAAAAATAGTAAGAATTAAGTTATGTTGTGCAAGAGATAGTAAGAATATTTACATTACGTTTATACAGGAGGGTATTATTGTACACAATCTATTGTAATAATACTTAATTTTTTCTGTGCTGAAAATGCATGTACACACTTAAATTCAAGACAAAAGGCAGAGGTAAATATTAGTAAGACATTTTGTTCAACAACTTATTAAAAGCTTATTAAAGTTTTAAAAGTCTAATATTATATCACAGAATAACATTATAAGTTTATTTATTCATAATATTAAGTACGATAAAGTTTAGCCCTAACTAAGTAAAAGGAAAAAACATATAAACATTACAGTGTTAATTTATCTCTTTATCAAGTATAGGCTGTACTTAACAAAGGTTTAACTAATGTTAGGCTTAAGACAAGTGGACTTATAGATTTCGGTGACATTATCTATCAAACACACATTGTAAAAAGAATCTTTACTAGTTTTATCGTATGAAATCTAAGGACCGTTATTTTTAACAAAGAATTAGTAAAGTAGGGAGAAACCCGGAATCGTTACAGGTTTCATACTACACTGTGTGTGTGACACATTTAGTTTTAGTAAAGTAGGGAGAAACCCAGGAATCATTACAGGTTTCATACTACACTGTGTGTGACACATTTTCACATACAATAGTTTAGAATTAAAAAGTTACTTAACCTTAAACTGTTCTATGTGAAGATGTCTATCGTATAAAACAAAATGTGGTTCGAAAATGTCTTTTAAGAAATCCAAACGACATGAAAATAGGAAGATTAATCTTATGTGAGAATAATCAATTAGTTGAATGGAACTGATTAATGAGCTCAACAATTAATCAATTAGCAAATTCAACTAATCACCAGCTCCCTTCTTCTTTGTTCAAAATTAACTTTTAATTCTTACTCATTTTCAGCTTTATTACAACACATTCTATCATATTTCATCTTCGTATAAAGAAAGAACCCAATAATAAACTAATACGGAATAATTTTCTTTTCTGTAGTTTACATGATTTCAATTTAACAAGCCTCACCTGAAGAAGCACAACTATCCAAGTGATATAATTGTAACCTTGAAAAAATCCTCCTTCTACAACAGTTTTTACGTCACTTACAAATACTGCTGCTGCTCCAAGAAGACAACAGAAGATAGCTATAAAAAAAGTTCTTAATTTTTGGAACAGTTCTGACAAATCAAGTAAAACCACTAAAACCTGATAGACAAAATAAAAACATTTTACCTTCTAACCTGATATTACAGGATACTAATAACAGTTTATTTTAATATTTTAACTACATTAAGATCTCAAATCTAATATAGAGATAATTTTAAAAAATCAAATTTAAGTAAAATAATCCAAAATGACCTATAGTTGATTTTGACACACTAAAATACATGAACCAATATCACAGTACGCACTTTGACATATTTGCTATTTTAATTAACATGTAACACCAAGAACAGTCAGAATTAAAGATAACTTCTGTAAAACTTTCCTCATAATTTCAAATGCCCATTTTATTTCTGAGTTTCTTGTTAGAGCCTCAAGATTGCGATGTTTATTGAATCAATTAAATGATAAATCTGTGGGCAAACTAAATAATATACATATATATATTATTAAATTCAGCATTCCCTTATATACACTTACTTCTATATATGACATGAATAACCAATTGGAAGCTCGGAATGTCTCCTAGTGGCTTTCTCAGCCATTTTAATGGG